TCCTGAGGGCAAACTCCAATTTTGTATGTTAGCTGGCACAGAATTGATAACACTGTCCAAAGAAGGAATTTCTTCGTCGTCATCGTCATCACTATCACATATAGCTACGTTAGGTGGCATTGTCGGAGAATCACTTTCTTCGTTACTCAAAGAAGTGAAATCTGGTGGTGATGGTGGTGGTGGTAGCACTGAGCCATCAGGAAGGACATTTCCAGCATGCTTCTTAAGTCTTCCATTCTCTTTCTACTGACTCAAAATCCATCTTAGAATATATTTGGAACCCCTTCCGAGTATCTTCAGGCCATCTCAAATGCCCTTCTTCTACAATTAAGGAATGAGTAAGAACAGGCCGTTAAGAAATATCAAAGGCTCATAAAGCACTTGCCTTATCAACGGCTAATTCCATGTCAATCAATTAAGACTCGAGTCCTAATGACCTATATTATCGCATTCCTCCCAAATTTTTTTTTTTTGTTCATTCTTAGAATTTTTCCTATACTGTATATAAAAAATAATAATATGATTAATTGTAACGATATAATCATCTCAAGATAAAAACAGGAGGAAGGAAGTCCACAACAAGCCACGGGAACTCGTCCCTCCCTCAGCTGGAACTCGTCCCCCAAGTTTGACTCAAGTGGAACATTCCTTGTCCGAAAACGCGTTTCGACACAGTGTTTCTATGTCCATGTGCACTCGGCACTACCCATTGGTTTTAAACTCGTTAAAACCTTCTCAGAACTCGTCTGCTGGATTAGCCATAGAGTACACTATCCTCCTGAAGAATGAACTTATTATACTTCCCTTCAATTCTTTCTGCAAATTAAGGATTTTATTATAAGCAGGATGTGTACTTGTATATATTTTCCTCAGGCCTCTCTTCGTCATCTAAGGCTACGTGGGAATTGTACTTGGTAATTAACGTTGGCTGTGTTTGCTTTTCGATCCAGTAGGTGTCCTAATTATTTAAGTTTCCCCAGGCGTTAAAGTCTCGGTTCCAATAATCTGAATGCCAAGTTGTATTCTTTCATCATTTGACTAATAAAAATAATAATAGGTGCAAAGTAGACTCAAAATATCTTGCTCAAGAAGAATAGTACAGTATATACAGGTTGACTCTCGATAATTGTCCTATCACGTTATTCCCTAAAATTGGTTGTATTAATTGAAGATCATAGACATCAAAAACGATACTTTACCTTTTTTATTAATTGTGCTCCGAGAACCGTGTATTTAGCTATAAATACTCGGTTCTATTTCTGAAACGAAAAAAGCGCTTTTTCATTATTGGAATATTTTTATTAAATAAGAAGTATTAAATATTTATCGACAAATTTAAAGTTTTATAAATTTATATTGTAAATTAATGAAATCAAAATCAAATAAATTATTAACATTAATTTAATATATTAGACATAATTAGTAAAATAAATAGATAGATAATATACAATTTTAGAATTTATTTAAATTATTATATTCTAAAAAATATATTTTTTATTAATAAATATAAAAAAATACATGAATTATTATTTAAAAATATTAAATAAATTATATAAATTAGAAATTTTTAATAATATTTAAATTAAATTTATAAAATTAGATTAATAATATATTGATAATTAAAAAATATTTAAATTATTAAAATATTATTGCTATTTTCAAAATTGTAGATCACCCATAAAAAAATGAATACAAATACAACAGTCAGTCAATAGAATTATCTGATGGTATGATATGTGATCTAATAAATATAAAAATTTTCTAAGGCAATATTGATTATGTGAAAAAAAATGGACATATCTTATAGTTTTAATATTTGTTATATATGTAAGGTTTGACTCTCTTATGATATTGATAATATTTTATTTACATGTCATTGTTTAAAGACAAAGCCAACAGCAAGAAACACCTTAAAGCTATTTTATAGTCAAGCAATATCTGTCAACACACATCCTTTACAATTAAATTTTCTTAAAGATACAAATCAGAAATTCAAATATCAATGTAACTTTTCAAACAGTTTTACCATCAATCTTTATGACAGATATAATAGTTTATGTCAAAGGTATACAAAACAAAAATAACAAGTTTCTATATAGCAATTGACAACTTTTACTAATAATACATTTCTTACTAACAATACACCTATTAAAAATACATTGCTTGCCAAAAAAACACATCTTTTATAATGATATACTTTTATCATCTGATACTGAAAACATGTAAATCAATGCTTTGTTGGTGATGAATTCCTTTAAAGGCATAAAATATCCTGCTAAAAACATAATATTTCACTCTTTCAAAGTTGAAGAGTTAACTAATTTTTATTTGCAGATGCTACAGGAAATAAAAACATTATTAGAGAATATTCAGATAACCTTAAAGACTTTATTATTTCATATCAAATAACTAAGATGGATATTGGGACAGCAATTTATAATAATTATAATTATCAAAAATTCTAAGAAAATATAAATTGCTGAAAGTTTTACTAATATAAAAGGCAATAACAATTACTATGATACTAAAGACATTGTTAAAAAAAAGAAACATATCAAATAATAAGGTAATATTTATTTGATGCAATGTTATATAATAATTAAATAATAATAATTTCTTAATATTTATCTTAGATATTGAGTATGAATAAGTGCCAATCAAAAATAAAGAAAAGGAAAATCAAACATAATAATAAACATTCAGGTCTTAATGAGAGTATAGAGGAGAGAACGTCAAAGATAAATAAGCTAAAAAAACAATATTATTATAATAAATATAATCAGTCATGTTATATTGATAAAAATATATACCTTAAGCTTATAGTGACTTATTTAACAATATAGGCATATAACTGGGTATATATTACAATATATATATATACAAGATAGTGCATTTAAAATTGGATTAAATATCAATAGTAATTCAATATACCGATTTTCCAATTTTAAATTTACCACCCTGTATATATATATTTTTTTATGGTCACTTCTTATGTAGTTGTTCATCTATTTCGCAGATACAAGAAGTGGTTGATATAGATATCCCATCAACATATGCAATCTTTTATTATGTATAAACAAGTAATTATTCATTCAAAATTCTTCATCACGTACTGACGCAATAAATATTGTGATTTAATTTGATCTAGAGACCTTGCTCCGCGCGGTACGTGGTCTAGATAATATTTTCTTTATAATTTTTTTTTCATAAAATAATTGGCAAATAAATGCAATAATTATTCATTTACAATCCTTCATCACGGATTGACGAAATAAATATTGTGATTCAATCCGATCTAGAGAACTGGTACCGCGCGGTTTCATTGCATGAGGTACCGTGCGGTACGTTGTCTAGATAATATTTCCTTATTATTTTTTTCATAAATTAATTGGCAGATAAATACAGTAATTATTCATTTACAATCCTTCATCACGTACTGACGCAATAAATATTGCGATTCAATTCGATCTAGAGACCTGGTGCCGCGCGGAATCGTTGCATGTGGTACCGTGCGGTACGATGCTTATATAATATTTTCTTTATTATTTGTTTCATAAATTAATTGGCAAATAAATACAGTAATTATTCATTTAAAATTCTTCATCACGGACTGACGCAATAAATATTGTGATTTAATTCAATCTAGAGACCTTGCACCGCACGGTACAAATGTAGGTTGTACCGTGCGGAACGTGATCTAGATAATATTTTATTTATATATTATTTTTGAAGAAACAGAATTCAAAATAATTTTTCTAATGTTTTAAATAAATTATTACAGTATATCATTTAGCAATGTGCCAATATATTTCAATAAATTTATAAATTTTAATTCTAGTCAGTTTATAAATTTTGGTCCGCATTATGTTTGTGAAACCGATTTTGCGTGTTAGTTGCAACATGCTGTATCGTTGTGTTGTACAAGTTTGTAAGAGTTGCTACAATTAGCCATTTGAATGATATAAGTCTAAGTTCAAAGTTTGATATAAAGTTTATAGATATCATTTTTCTGAAAAGGTTGCCTTTTCAACAATGATTGCGGTATTTTTTATAAGTTTGAATTTGATTATACCTGTCGTTTATACAGAGAAATATGATCCTAGCCCAGATATTATTGATAGTTTATTCACTATATTCATGCCATTACTTGTCATTACAGCTTATAACCGTAATAACAAATTAAAGAATGTAATTAAATTTTATAATATGTTTGAATATTACCTCTTGACTCTGGTTTTATTCATTATCCCCCCTATTTATAACTATTTTGTATACAAGAGCACTTCCACATATGATTATGTCTGCATGATTTCGAGTATTATTATATCTTCAATTCTTTTACATAAACCTAAACCTTCGATGATTATTATATCTTCAATTCTTTTATTTAAACATGAGCCCATTCATCATTTGATCAAAGGGCCAGAACCAGCGGGGAGGAGACACAATTATTATTCGGTCCAAGTGTTTTTTATTATTTGTATTAGTTGTATGTTATTACCTTCTTTTATTCTAACAATATCATTCGCTTTTTCAATATATTGGATCAAAAGTGGTGATATAAGTGAAAAAATTGGTTATAATTGGTTTGTTGCTATTTCAACAGGAATTATTTTGATAATGTTTATTATAGTCTACAATTGTCGTGTATGGTTAAGTTTATATTTTTATCTTGTAACGACAATTGGGTTGTGTTTTTCTATAGTTTATTCAAATGATGGTTGTTTTACAAGACTACTTTTAGCATTACTGTCTTATTTGTTAGCAAAGATGTTTGATAATGAAACCATCCTTGGTAAAATCCTAAATGGTACGAACATAGAAGACATTTTGAATAATAAAAGTCTTAGGATTCATATTGGTATTAGTAAGTCAGAATAAAGTTTACATTTGCTTGAATTTTGTACAATTATATCTTATATGTTATTTTTTTTTCCTTAGAGAATGCTGATAAATTTCACAATCATATGGAAATAAGATTTAAGGTTACCAGTAAAGATTATAGTGTTATGGATAAAAATAGCGAATGGAAAACTATCCAATTTTATAATATTCAGAATACATGTTATAATATTCAGAATACATGTTATATCAATGATTTGTAAGACATCAATATTTTAAATTGTTTTGTTTGATTTTTTCAATAATTTTATTTTCTTGACTTCCTGATATAGGGATAAAGATTTGGATGATCTGATCCTATTTATCAAAGTTAAAGATAAAGTTGCAAAGGTAAAAACTTGTTATTTCAAATATCAAATAGATAGGAAAATAACTTTTATTAATTCTTTCTTTGATAAAAGTACGATTTAAAAGGAATAAAATTTGGTATGTCAGTACAAACTCATGAACTTTTAGAAGGAATTATTTTGACTTTGGCTATTGTTGATGGCGATGATGAAAGCCCAGGTTTTAAATCCATTTATGGAAGCACATTCGACGATATTGTATAAAATTTTTAAAATTGAAATTATATCGGGATAAAATTTTATCATAAACTTTAACCAATATGTTATTAAATATTGTGTATACAGTATTTATAATAATTCCAATATTATTTAGCAATTATAAATATATTTTATTTCTTTATCTAGTGAATATTGTATTGTTAAGTGTATTAATGATTCATTTTTAAAGGTCATGTATTATATAATGTATTATGATATTATTACTATATAGTCATGATTTATTAATATCGTTCTTAACAAATTTTATCTCTCTCGCAAATATTTTGATAGCAAAATGCCATTTTACAAAAAAAATTATGGTAATCTAATTACAATAATCTCATCAAACGTTTATTATTGAACAGCTTTAGACTTTGGTATCAGGATCTAGTACTAAATGGTAAGTTCATTTCGTATCTTATCATTTCTTTCACACTTCTTTCATCACCTTATCACCTCCACACTTTTGATTCTCATTGTTTTTTCCATCCTCTTTCATTTTTTCATTCCTTATCATCCTCCACTTCTTTTTTTTTGTTTATAATTATCCTCCACTTCATTCTTTTGTTTCCTTTGATTTCTCTTTACTCCTTTTATTTCCTTTTATTGTCAAGATTATAGATGGTACCCACAAATACAATATATCAATATAGCCAATATGACTGATCAATATTATATACTTATGTCAATAACATGCTGGGCCATTTGACAGGCTCAAATTGCTGAAATTGAAAACAGTAGTGTATTGCCTAAAGACCTATACAATAAATGTTTTATTACAGTCAGACCTATATACAGTCACAACCTATATAGTCACATCTTTATATAAGAACCCAATTTTAGGAATTGGACTTTAACTTAGTTAATTTACCTCTTTATAGTCACAAATCAGTTATAATCACTATCACCTCATAATTTGTAATTTACATATTACTTTCATTAGTAATTTGACCTCTCTATAGTCACTAATTTCCAGATTAATGGTTGCAAATTTAATCCAAATTTTAATCTATTAATAGCCGAGTAAATATTACTATCTTCAAGTTAGCAACAAAATAAAATTCAACAATAACTCTTTTTTTCCTACTTTTATTTTTTGTTATACTATCTGTTTAAAAGTTTAACAATAT